TTTAAGATGTACGTGATTTGTACATCTAGGAAAAGTGAATTTGTACATAGATTAGAGATTCATTCCAGCTATTAGGTAAATCACTAAATAACAGTAAACTGCTTTATCGAAGCAGCTTAGGAATAATATGGGTGAGCATAACATGGTTCTGAGAAAATGCCATAAACTCTATTCGAGATGCAACTAGCACTAAATATCAGAAATTTAATTTCATACAGTAAATATTACAAAAAATCTGTAAACTTTAAAATTTGACTGTTCGTAGCATCTAGGGGTGTCAATTTTTGACACGACCCGAAACACGACCTGAACCTGACCCGAAAAAATCCGGGTTTGGGTCAACCCAAACCCGAAACGGGTCAGGTTCAGGTTAAACAAATCAACCCGTTTTAAAAATCGGGTCGGGTTCGGGTTGACCCAGCAACCTGAAATTGACCCAAAAGTGACACGAAAACTCATATTTGACCCGAAAACCCGAGATTGACTCGTTTTTTACCCGATTTTGACCCGAAAATCAAATATTGACTCAATTTTTGACCTGAAAATTAGCAACTTTAGGTCAACTTCGGGTCATTCGTGTCGGGTCGGGTTGACCCAGACCCGAATTGGGTCGGATTCGGGTCCGGAAACCTGACCCGTTTTTAAAAACGGGTCGGGTTCGGGTTGACCCGAACAGCGCCGGGTCAGTTCCGGGTTCGACCCGAACCCGACCCGCTGACCTGAATTGACACCCCTAAAATTTCCCAAATAGCAATTATTATTTCAGACGCTATAGCTTCCAAACACTACTTTATATACACAATAATTTCACAATCAACTTTACAGACATCAACAATAGCCCACAAACAAATATGAGGATTGGGTAGCCAATCATTTAATATTTAGTCCGCTTTTTTTTTTTGGGAGATGCATTGCCAACACACGCACATCATATGCATAAGCTTCAAACTCAAGACTTTTTGATTGAGCTAAAACTCTCAACTAATAGATCACAGTGAGCGACATATTTGATGCTTTCTCAAATAAACCAACTTTACTAGTACAAGGTCAAGTATACGGTGATATGAAAAAAATAAAAGAATGTTCAGGCTTCAGAAACAAAAGCCATCTTTTCGTTCAATTTAATAGGCTCATTTCATACGATCAAAAGGATACATGAAGAGTGGAGAAATTATAGCGTTAAATATTCAAATGGCACAATAGCAATAAATGCTAATTTTGTTGTAACAAAAAAAAAATGATGATGATGATAAATAAAAAGAGACTAAATGAAAATATTAAACTACAATACCGCATAGCATGATGATTGCACAAATACTGCAATCCATGAAAGCAGCACCAAGAACTTTATGGAGCACCTGGCCAACTTCCAAAATTTTGCCCACGTCATTTGGCCATCCCTCATCCTCTAGCAAAGCGTTCCTTGCATCTATTTCAGGTTTCTGCCTGATCCCTTGGTTCAAGAACACCCATCCAAGAATGATGGTCACATCGGTAAGCAGCACCAGGAAAAGAGGTCTGAAGCTGATTATGCTGCTCAAAAGCCTACCACCGATCATAAAACCATTGTATGATGAAACCACGAGAATGGACATGGCAATGGTGAAGACGAGGCGAATATTCTCCGTTGCTAAAACAGAATGACTGATATTTCTAGGTGTAAAAGTGGTGAAAATCGCATTTTGAGCTGCATTTGTAGCTCTAGAATCACCATGACCTTCTGGTTTTTTAAGCATTGAAGTGGTGAACAGTTGTTTTGATATATTTTCTCCTCTCCTAGTTTTGTTGTTTTCATTATATGCATCTTCATTTTTCTGCTCTGTTGAAAAATAATTCGCTGCCGCTTTAGGATTTTCGCTCTCTGCCTCAAACTTGTGGAGTCCGCCTGTGTCAGGCTTCAAAGCTGGTTCTTGCTTATTACTGACGTCTAATATATTGCCGACAATATCTTTGCTATGATAATGTTTGGGAGTTCCAGTAGAGGTGATGTCCTCCCTAGAAGCAGCTATTCAAGAAGTGTTCAAACAACATTAGTTCGCATTTTTAGTATTTGCTGGTTGGCATTAGCAAGTGTAAGAAGATCGCATGAAGCCGACTATATCATTGGAAAATCAAAAATGTAAAAGTTGAATAGCAATATTAACATTACCAATCATCATATGCAATATCTTTATAATCATCTATAGAAAAAAATTGGATACTCAATCTTGCACCTAAATAAAGGAAGCATTACAAAAGGAAATTGCTCATGGCTGCCCAAAATGGGGTTTGAGATACTCAATCTCACAACTCAGATTAACCATGAGATTACACATATGAGTGACCATGTTCATACCAAATTGATGTTAATGCGAGACTTTTCACATAGGCAAGTTCAAATTCTTAGAACAGGATGCGGGCTGCACTCTCCCTTTAATCCACACTAATGATGAGTCATTCAAAGTCCCACCAAAGGTAGAAATATTCTTTTGTCAGGTGGTTATAATCCAAATTTAGAAGAGTAAAATCATCTTACCAACATACACATCAAATGCTACTCTTAAATGTGAATAACTTTGCAAATTTTTGAACAAATCTATTAGTTGTACTAAAATTGCCGAGGTGTTGTAAGCCTTTACAAGATGCCTACAAACTAACAAGATTGCCTCGATTGTTGATGTTTGAACTTGTTCAGCAACCTAAACTTTTATTTGAGAACCACTATATTGCTGAATTGTTGAGGATGGTTAGAAGAAAGAACATAATTGCACACAACATTGAGTTGAGAGCTATCATTCCTTGAAACCTCACCATACATAACAGACTGTGGTTCTTAGATTGTACTTTGGCTAAGGCATTGTGAACTTTATGAGTAGTGATACTCCAGAACCTGTATGGCAAAAGGGATGAAGCCTTCACACTTCCATTCACAATATTCTTGGGAGAGCACATGTTGAATTGCATGTTATTTTTATAATATGCGGAATAATCATATGACTACAAGTTTTATATTTACGTCTCTCATGAAGAAAAAAACGGCATTTAAACAAGATATTAAAAACTGAATGGTGAACATTATCCTAAATGTGCCTAGCCTAAGTGAACTTCAAGGTGTACTGTCGTTTGGGAAATTTCTTACATAACACGTATATATATGAAAACTAAAACTAAATAACATCCATATAACAATACCAACAAAATCTTGTAAAGCACAACGAAACCCAATCCTATAATTTTTATTTTATTAAAATATCAATGGTAAGCCATAGCAATCATAGATGTATAAATTCAGTAAGATTTATTGGCATGTGCATAATCTTTCTTATTTATTAGTCTTAGGAAATTTGATAGGAAATACTTGAGTTCGCAAGTAATCCTATCGGAAATACTTGAGTCCGCAAGTAACCCTAACAATAAATAGGTAAAAAACAGCAAGAAAGAACACAAGAACGCCAACGAAATCAACCCATGACAGTACATTGTATTAGGGAAATCAAAACAAAGAAAAAATAAAGCAATGATATGATTGATCCTCAATTCAATAGGAGGATCGTTTTGACCCAATCTCTAGACAGATTTTGGAGCGCAAATCACCAAAGAGAACTCCAAGAGAAACAATAATCTACTATAAACCCTAACCCTAACCTCTCATGCCTATTTAAAGCTTAATTCACTTGAATTCAAAATTCATTTCCCTCCTAACCTAACCACCTCCCTTAATTAGCCATGTCGGGCCCACGGCTAGGGCAGCAATCACATAGGAGGGGGTTTGACCCACCTCCTATAGACTAGGGCCGGCTAGGTCAGTTCAAGAACCGATCCAACAAAATTTTTGCAAATACAACTAAAAATATCAATAAAAAAAATGTAAAATTGAAAAATCAAAATTATAATATAAGTTACTTAGATAATTGGGATGATGAAAATAATGACTTCAATCACATAAAATTTCTTAAAATCTACAAATGGTTTGACCACTTTACAAGGTTGAAAAGACTTTTATTGCAAAAATTTTGCGCTACTAGTTTCTTTTAACTTCTCTCTAATTTTATTCTTACATATGGAATTATTGGCCCATGCTTATATTCGATTGGATGTACTGAATTATTTGCTAATTTTGCTATAATTTCACAGTGCTAACTACGCTGTAATAACCCTTTTGATCAATTGGAATTTCGAGGATTTACTAAATAATGAGGACTTATTCTTGACTTATTTTTGAGCTGCTAAATCAACCAGTTAATGGTATATTTTGGACACTCCAATTATTTCTGGAGGCAAAGATAATTACCAACATGCTTGTGTGATTCAACTAGACAATTTAGATGGTGATAATATTTATATCTTGAATGGTCAACGACATTATTCTATCTAAATTATAGATCATTTTATTCTCTTTCAGTTTACTCTTTTACATTTGTAATGGTTGATGTGTATTTTTGCATCTCATGGGTCTTTTGAATTTTAGTGACCTTGTTATGTTATATATATACAAATGTAAAATTTTGTTATCAATAAAAATTGCTGGGCATTGCCCAAACCTTTGCCAAGAAAAAGAAAAATATATTAGTTGATTGTTCCCAATAAATTTAGACTGAAAATTGAAGTATTGAACTATAGGTTTTTGGCCAAGTTCAACCAATTTTGGAAGATCCCTTGTTAAGCAAACTCAACATAACTTTCTAGATTGGCAGACCACTCAATTTTGGAGCAAAATTTTTCAACAGACCAAATAATATGTCAATTTTGACCAATCAATTCTTGACCAGAATTAAATGGCACCTGTTTTATTTAATTACTTTTTTTTTCCCAATGGCTTGGTTGCTCCTATTGTCCCTGAATACTTTTGAGCAACAAATCTAAAATCTCCATTGGTTTGGGACCTTCATTCTTACTATTTTGTTTTATTGTCTCCCAAGTTAATTTGATTAAAGCATTGGATAATACAAAAAATTCAAATTTGAATTTGCCTCCATTTCCATGGGTCGCCATTTGTCTTCACTTATACTGCATCTCATCTATAAATAAGAGCTTAAAACTTGAAAATCATTCTTTTTTGAATATATTGATCTCTATGCTCTTGCACCAAAACTTTGTTGTTCTTCATTTAACCTTTTTGTTTTTCAATTCGTTCACAACTTTGTGCTTTCATTTGCATACACTCTTTTGAGGTGTATATTGAAAGTAATTAAGACCTTTTGGTGCTTTTATTTTTATTTTTATTTTTATTTTTTAATCTTTTGATATTAACATTATGTTGAAATTTATTTTTAATAGCTTTAAAAACTATTAACATCCAAGTTGATTGATTTTGCTTTTATAGATGTGCATTTTTTTTGTTCTAGCTTAGTTATTGTAAATCTCGTTTTATCTTGGTTTTTCTTTCATAAAGAAGTTTTAAGGTAAGTCTTGAACACCTGAAACAAAAAAAAAAAGTATAAGGGTTAGCCATGCGCCAGAAAAATAGGCCATTCTTTCTAGAAGGATGCAAGCTTGTACAACAATAGCAGTCACTGTTGGTAAAGGTGGTTATTAGAATCAAGGATGAGCTTATAGTTGGACATTAGCCTGAGTTATAGCTAAACTAGTATAAGTGTTTACATTTTTTTGTACTTTACCTACTAGCTTAAGTTCTTCATAGATTTATCTCTTCAGACCATACCACTCTTGATTTTGTTTGTTCTCATTTACAAATATTATGATCATTTACTATCATTCATAAGTTTTTATGATCCAATCCTCCCTTCTGGATGTTCTCCCATGGAAAACATGTCAATTTCTACAAATTTTCCCAGAGTAAGAAGAAATCTTTTCAATGAAGGCGTCGAGATCCTAATCTCAATCTTCAAAACTAACTCGTGAACTAATGGAAGGCATTGAACACACTTTTTCCTAATGCCCTAATAGGTGAAGTCATCACTCTAAAACTCCTTGAATGATTTGTTTGGTGTCTCTAAACTCAACTTGCATTTGTCACATTCACTCAACATTATAGAATGTAATTGTTGCAACTGAATGTGGTATTGGTTCACATTGGATTGATTATTCTTGTGATCTTTTATACGAACATCATAGTATGAAATTAAATATTTAGTAGGGCATTAGAGTTGCATAATTGATAAAGAAAGTACTAAATGTTGATCAATTTCTCTCTGTCATCTCCTTTAAAACATACTCTTATACAGGATTTCATCTCCTCAACTCACTTGACAAACCTATTTATACCCCCTCACTCAACTAAGATGGAAAGGATTTTCTTCCTATTTTTTCATATTGTAAAAATGGTAAAATTCTTGTATACTAGATGAAGGATATTTGAATGAAAAGATAGATAATGTTTTGCGAAGCTGGCATGTTGTTATTCTTCAAAATCTACTTGCATGCTTTCTAATATGACCAAGAAAAAAATAATTGAAAATTTAAGCTTGGAAGGCATTTGCAAATAAAATTTTGAAGGCAAAATTACTAATTTGCTCTTTCAAATTAGGATTGGTTCATTAAATTAGGGTAGAAGGTAGACTATAAAAAAACCAAAGATTATTCAACCACTAATTTTCTCCATCTATTTTTACATAATTGAACAACCTTTAAATAGAGATGCAATGGAATATTCCATTGTTTTAAGCAATATTTATACATATTTTAAATAGATCTAGGAAATTTAGGTTATATATTCATAAATTAGTTCATTTAATTAAAATTATGGATAGGCATGGATTGATTCATATTTTTCCATACATAGGTGACTTCTGATATAAAAATAAAGCTCGGAAGTAATCAAATTTTTTTTCCTCAATTTCTCTTTCTCGCTCTCTAATTCAATCAAAAGGACTATTTGAGCTTCTCTCTCTAAGAAAGCTGCCTAAGGCTTGGTCAAGTTTGATGGCACGAGTTCCTCTCATATATAAATTAGAAGAATCAACTTAATCCCCATAACTCATCCATAAAGACAGTTTTCCTTTGTAAGCATTTCACCCCTAATTCTATGTTATATTTTGGTATTAAATCGCCAATTTCAACCCATATAAATTTTATTATGATTTGTATGAGATTACAAGAAAACGGATAAAGTGTTAATGAGAAAAAAAATCTATCAATCGAGACAATATAAAATAAAGAGAAGTTCTAAAGGAAATGGAAAAGTTTTTGGCTGATTTCGCAAAACATATGTCCAATGAGAATGCTTACCTAATGATAAGAATGATGACCGTTTTCAAAAAATCCTACTACCAAGTTGATAACACTAATGCAAAATGAAGAAAATGAGAGTTCATTAACATAAATAAATGATGAAAAAAATAATCAACAAGCACTTATTATCAATCTAGTTGATGACATGTACATAACGAATTCCACAATTCACACAAAAGTCCATAAGGACCATACCTATCAATGGCGCAAAATGGCGCGGCGCGGCGCACCTACAGCGCCAACGGCATGGCGAGACTCACATGTTCAAGTTGGAGCGCTCCATTTGCGCCAC